TCAAGAACGAATGCAGGAAACAAACGTCTCCTTATTTTCTATCAGCAGTACTATACATAGCCCAACGGGCCTATGAAGTAATGGGGCCTACTCGTAGGCTCATGTTGGCCCGACCAGTTGACTCAATCATTTTGTGAGCGGCAGGATTACAACCTGACGAGGCAGAAAAACATTTTTCCTCAAATGTATAATTGGGATTTGCCATAATTGGTGCTATAAAAGCAATGCTTGGTCGCAAGCTGTTCTATTGACGTCTAACGTCTTGGTACAAAGTTTAGACTTTGATAGTGGGTCTATAATGTGCATCCTCCATTTAGGGTCAAGCCTATCATTTTTTGTTTTTTTTTGTTTTTTTGCGACAAAATCACTGAGTTTATTAGCTTAGGACATGATTAAGACGTCCACTTTCAAGTCGATCAACTTCATTATGATTTCCACTAATTGGATAGACTAAAATCTTACTTTTATTCGTTTGCCTTTAAATAATCATTTCAAAACGTGGAACTGCACATACCTTGTTTTAATTTATATATTAAGTGTGTTTGGAATTCATTTTAAAATTATTTTATTTTTTGTATGAAAATATTTTCAATCTCAGACAGAAATCATTTTTAAAAATGCATTTGGTAGTTTTATCAAGAGATTGTTTTCAGTATGAAAAATCTATTAATGTCTCTCCCTCTCTATGTGCTAGAGAGAGGATAAAACGGAAACAAAAAATAAAAAATCTCTCTCATTTTTCACTAAACTAAAAAATTATTTTCATTTCTGTTTTTTACCTTTAATTGTACCAAACGTCGTTTCTCTCTCGTTTTTTTTTTTTATTCTCGAAAAATGTGAAAAACAAAAACAAAACCGACTTAAAACATGGCCATTATGTCAAAATTGATAGTCGCAGTTATTGCATAATTCTTGCGTGATTCATCTTTGTTGTAAAATGTAAAATGTATCCAATACTAATGGATGGATCAAATGCAATAATTATGTTACTGGTGTCTGTTTTTGCTTTTAGGATTTATTTTATTTTTTCTGCAAATGTTACTAATATGACTAGCATAATTCTGCTGTTTAAATTCTATCTACTGTTTTTTTTTTTTTTAATAATGGTGATGTTTTCATTTAACCGAAATAATATACTATTACTCTTCTAAAAATACTAAGATCTATATATTGCATTCTAATAAATTCTTCAATACACCACGCCTACACTCACCATTATAATAATAAATAAAACAGTCATGCTTCTACTAAAGAACCAAGATGATTTCTCCATGAAGAAAATAGCATATTTAAATATATATATATATATATATAATTGAAATAGATAACAGATTTTAAAATTATTTGAAGTAAATAATAGCTTACTGTGTAAATGTTTTATTTACGACTAGAAAAAAAAAAAATTTCATATAAATTTTCTTTTACGACTAGTAAATATATTTTTACCACATAAATTATTTTTATCAATCATAAACAAATCATTTATATAATAAACTGTTATTTACTTTAAATAATTTTAAAATATGCTATTACTTAATTTAATTTTATAAATCTGCTATTACTACAATTTTCCTTTCTCCATGCACTGAATCATATTGGCGTTCTTCTATAAACGACATAAATGGGTGCCCATAGTGGGTTTGGCCTATGTGGCATTATTTATCAGGAGAATGTAGTAAATAATAAATTTGTGAATTACTATGCGCTAAAATTGGTGTATTCGTGTCAAGATTTGAATCATGATTCGTGGTTTAATACAATATTTTCTCTCATAAAAAAAACATGTAAATCGACAATAGTTCTGAAACATAATTCTGAATCCATGAACCAAACGTCCACAATTTTCCTAATTCGTGATATTTTTCCATCTTTTTCTCTCTCTCCTTTCTCCCTCACGTTGGTTTCTCAAGAAATGGTTCTTGGATTGTGGATGTATGTATTAGGGAAAGTACATTAGAGAAAGTATATTTATTAGTAGTTTTGACTTCATTGATATTATTTCATACTAGGAAGTTTTTTTTTATTTTAGTTTTTAATAACTTATCTGATTATGCGCTATATAGAGCCATTTTTATAGTGCTTCTTACTAATAAATTCTCCATGTCTTCCTAGTCCGTGGATATAAAAATCATGCCGAACCATGTTAACGCTTTGTTCTTTGAAATATTCACACACCATAAACAATCGAATACGTGATCCTGATTGAATTCGAGAAGAGGTTAGGAGCATGAAGATCATGCTTGTGAGTTGTGACGATGGAACATCGTGAAGCTTATCATGATGATTCCTAGACCGGTGATAAATTGGAGACCGGACACGGCACCACTGAAACGCTTCCGCATATGTACTTGAGGTATTTTTTTCCCTTTGACGTGCATGAACCTAATCATAAAAGATATAAAACAGAGCACTAAAAAGATAAAAATCGTCAATTCTTTCAACACGTTGTATGCCTCTAGAAACCACAACTGAGAAAAAAAAAAAAAAAAAAAAAAAAAAAAAAAAAAAAAAAAAAAAAGAAAAGAAGAAGAAAGTTTCATTGACGAAATTAACAAACCACAAGAATTAGGGGGACATAGGTACTAGAAACTTTATGCAATTCAGCTCAAAACCCACTACCGGTAGATTTCATCATTTTGCTGAGAAACTTCCCCACAAACTACAAGGACAGAACAGAAGGTGTGTTTTGGAATCGATTCCATTTTTATTTTTTATGTTTTTTGATAAAGAAAAAATGAAAACGTTTTCAAAACGGCGTTTGGCACAATAAATGTAAAAAACAGAAATAAAAATGAGTTTTTGATTTAGTGTAAAATGAAAGAGAAATTAAAAATGACTTTTAGTCGTTTTTTGTTTTCATTTTCTCTTCTCTCGAGTAGAGAGAAAGAAAGAGAGATATTAATGAGTTTTTTTATACTGAAAATAATCTCTTAATAAAACTACCAAATATATTTTTAAAAATAATTTATGTCTGAAATTAAAAACGTTTTCTTATTTTAAAACAAGTTCTAAACACGCGTAAAGTGTTGGACAAGATGGCAAATTATGGCCACAGACGGTTCCGAGGGACAAGTTGATGATAAACCCTTGTTTTGAACAATGCTTTTTAGAAACTCGTTCATTACTTTGGTCCTTTTTCACTTTTTTTTTTTTTTTTTCAATTGTAGGCGTGTTGGTTGAAAATGATGTGTTGCCCCCTTAGTTTCTTCAACTTTACGCACTCTTTTTGTTTTTTTTTTTTTTTTTTGTTTTTTTTAATAAAAAATATATTCATACAATTGATGTTTAGGTGCCAACATAGCACTTCAAGTCCAACAAGGAATTGCCGTTACTCGACAGCATCTTTAATACTGAAAACCAAAGATAAAAGCAGTGAAAATTCGTTTCTGGTCCCACTATTAATTCGCTCATTGATTTTCAGCCAAGAAAATACCTAACATAAACAGCAATTAATCTAACATTACATAAAAAAAATAAAGCTCTTTTCTATAGGGTTGTTACGTGATAATCTCTTTATTTTTTTTTTCCTTTTTTTCTTTTTTATCTTTATTTTTTGTAATTTTTTTAGATTTAATTTTTTTTGTATGCGTTTTAAAAATATATTGTTCTTCACTTTACTCCCATGAGAGTATTTTTTTTACATATGATCCTATTTTATTTTAGATTAGTTAAAATAATTTTTTTTTAAATGTATCCCTACTTAATTTTTTTTATCAATTGTTATTTTTTCACATATTTTTTTAAAAATATATTTAAAAAATTTTAAATGGGTTGTATATATAAATTTTTCATTATTCAATAAATAATAAACTCTTCAACTATTTTTAACATGGTAAGTGCGGAGCATGGTACAAAATTAGTAACTAAAAGGGGAGAAATACAAACGGCAGCGTACAAGAACAAAAAGATAAATTGCTCGCTTGTTCACTTTAGCAGAGAAAAAAAAACAAAAAGCAAGCAAACAAACAAAAAAGTTGTTTGCTTGTTCTTTCTTCTAAAAAGATAAATTGCTCAGAAAGTTGGCTGTGAAATACCATTTTCAAATGAGTCTGACACAAGAACACTTACCAGGCTGCATGAAAGTCTGGCTTCCAAGTTCCATGTAACTGAGGATGAAGTTTATGAAAACTCAAATGTAGGGCTCCAAAGTAGTTAATTTCATCGATTTGAGTTTTTAATTTAAAATTGAGTTTTTAATTTAAACTGAAATATGATTTTATGTGAGAATTTTTAACTGTGACAAAAAAAAAATTAGATGCGACTTTTTATAAAAAATTTTAATTTTAACAGAATTAAAATTCCAAACTTGAATAACGAGACTAATTATGTTGGTATAAAAATTCTCAAGGGACTTAAAATGGAGCTATTAGTTTGAAAATGAATCATGCCTTGCAAGTAATTGTTTTTTTTTTTTTTTTTTTTTTATGAAGCAAGTAAAGGAATTTTAATAATATTATTAACTTATTAATGTTAAAAGAAAATTCTACTCATTAACTAATTTTAATTTAAAAGGAAGAAATATATGAACCAATGCTTAGAGGTAAAAATTAAAAGAAAACTCGAAGTATTTTAAAAAATTACCCCCGAAAAAATCACTCAAAAATTAGCCCAATATCCGTGTAAAGTTTAGGTGACGTATACTCAGATTTATTTTACTTTTAGTTTCTGTACAAACGTGTAATGAATATTACTCACAATCTCTATAAATGGTAGAAGGGTTATCGACTTATCCATATTCCTATCCTAGCATGCTCACCGTGATGCCAAATTGTTCATTTACAAGTGGGAACTTGAAACTTAAAAGACAATAGAATAGTGAGAATCAAGTTCTATAAATGAAGCAAGACTTGCCCAAGAAACGAAAAGATTGAGAAGCAACCTTCAGCATTTCACTCGAGTGGTTTTATAAATGAAGCAAGACTAAAATACCCAGGAGAATCCACAGGAATAAAAAAAAAAAAAAAAAAAAAAAAAAAAAAAAAAAAAGGAAAAAATTTTTCCAGTCTTGGTAAAATTACATTTGCAACCCCCTAATTCCATATCCCACTCTATACATTTTTTAACAGAACCCACAACCCAGTATCCAGCAACCCTCTCTTGTCTATACCATCTAACACATAAGTGGAAAAAAAAAAAAGGGGAAAAAATTCTTGATCAGTAACCTCCCATAAAAACTGCAAGCTACAACTAAAATTTTTCTGCTAGGTAGATGATCAAAGCATTCAGATGCATTATCTAGAGAACGAACAAACAGCAACACCCAATTGAAAGTTCTTGAGGAGCTTTTTCGCTAATCTAACAAATCTCCGCGCGCTAGAAGTGAGGTCAGTTATGAATTTGGTTTGTGGAAGACAAGGTTAGTCCAAGTTAGAACCACCCAATAGCTTGGACTGCAATGTATGTTAGTCATGGCAAGCAAAAACTGGTCTCGCTCTCAACATAACCAGACCAAGAATTGACAGAGCAGGTGGTTCACTGCAAATTACCGGACCTACCAGTTGCGGGTATCGGAGCGGCTTGAGAGAACGAGTCGTGGACCATCAAAGTGTTGTTCTCGGTGGCATTCGCTGATGATGTACCACCCTTTACAGTTTGCTCCAAAAGGTGAACCAGAGACATAAATATTTCCATCCTTGTAACGTCCCTATTTGCCTGCATAAGAAATTTTCGTAAATGACCAATACAAAAATGGCATGTCCATAAGAAAGTTAGCGGGCATCTCAAGTTACTGAATAGAGGATAGACTAAATAAAAGGAATCTGAATAGGATATTACCTCTATTGCAAAGCGAGCCCATATCTTATCATTTCGAGCTTCCATCACTCCCTTTAAAATGGTCAAACCCATTCCTCTAATTAAATCCGCTATTTCTAGGAAGAAACCCCGTTCTTCACAAAGCATCTGCTTCCAGAAAAGACAAAAATGGGGAAATAAGAACAAGGATTTGATAAGTTTAATGCCATAGATCCAAAAGCTGCAATTTTGATATTCAACAAATGCAAGCACCTCCACAAGCATCTGACGAGGTGAATTCAAGTCCTCAACAATTATAGGGCAGACCATAGATTGTGAGCCAACTTCAAAAGCCCATGTTGCCCCTCCCTCAAAGTTGTCTTTTAAGAGCAGTCCACCCTCTTTATTAATAATCTGCATAACCAGAAAAAAATAATAATAATAAAATAAATAAATATTTGCAGAAATTTCCCTCTGTTTTAGCTCAGTGCATAAATGGAAATGGCATAAGACCATAGCAAAAGTGTCCCATCTACTCCGAACGTTTTATACTTTTTGTTTTTTTACTGCTTTCTAGAGAAGTTCATAAAAAAAAAAGAAAAAATGTATCTGCCATTTGTTTTGGCTGGGCCTGGACTGTTTTTTACTAAATTATGGCACAAGGGAACATTATGCACAAATAGTTTAAAGTCATTATAAACGAACCTTGTTTTATATTAAATTATGCATAAGCCAAGCCCAAGTGTCAAAATAAATAAAGAACATTAAATATTTTGAGACTATCTGTACCTTGGACTCTCCTGTTTGTTTTAGCTTGTCAGCGTGCTTTGTGACGCTTTGCAGGAAAAGCATATGCTTGATAGTCCGTTCAAGCAGTGCATCTATGCTACACTGAAAAATCACATTGCATATAAAAAACTAGTATCAATATCCAAACACTCGATGCTAAATGCACAAAGTACTAAAACTATAGATAGGAAAAGAAAAGGCATTACTTTTGCCCCATTTGGGACAATCTCTCTCAGCTCTTTTACACGATCTTGGATCATCTGACGATCTTTCGGCCTAGGTCTAGGGTTTTCTCCGGGTTTAAGCCTTTTTCGGTTTGATTTTCCAATTTCATCAGGCCTCTTAGAATATGCAGTTGAAACACTATTTTCGTGTTTCATGCAATTGCCTTGCTCAACCCAAGAACTCATTTGAGATCCATAAATGGAAGTCGTCTGGGAACAGTTTCCTGTTTCATCCTTGCTACAGCCAGATTTAAAGGAACTCGTTTTTACCATCCCTGCTTTATCCAAAGACTCCGGAAGCTGAAGTTTTTGCCCTCGCACCTGATTAGGCAAATTAACATGTCCATGTGTTGGTGAAATACTGGGTACAGAAGAGCTACTGATCTTTGTTAATGTTGTTCTGCAAGATACGTTATCCTCGGAGCTCTGCTTGGCAGCAATGTGTGCCTTAGATACCACTGCATCTAACAGATGGTCTGTGCCCATCCCCGAGAAAATACCACTGTCTGAATAGAAACTAGAATCCATATCCTCCATACTTGTAAATGTTGAAGTATTCTCAGGCATACCTTCTACTCTTCCATCTAGCCTATGGCCATTAAGCAGCTTATTCTTATAATCCATTCCCAACACAGCAAACAAGTCATCTCCCAATGAAGCTCGAGTACATTGATCTTCAAGTTTAGCATTTGTGGATCCTGAACACTGAGGTTTATCTTCAAGATTTTGGCAGTCCAGAACAAAGTCAGGGATACGGTCACTCGGAGACATATGCCCATCTGCATGGAACAATGGAAAATTAAGGGCTTGAAACAGTTCATTATCCATCCTTTGTTCGCTTGCAAGCAAGTCATTTTGAGTAACCTTCACATCTTTGGACAATTGTCTAACATCAAAGCCTTTTGAGATCGTGGGACCAGTAACTAACTGATCTGACATACAAGAAAAGGAAACCTCCTCGGTTTTTAATGTTTCAGCCTTTTGAAGCTCAATCCCAGACAGAGCGCCAGAAAGATTGACATCAGCTGCCATGTGTGTGCTTGAACGAGAGCAAGGAACTGAAACTGGCCATGAGTATCTATTGATTCCACCACTTATTTTTTTTCCTTCAAGAAATGGAATGCTTAAGGAAGTCACATTCTCATCAAAAAGTAAGCTTCCACTTGTTTTCAGTACAGACGAGTTAAAGCTATTTGATACACTTTGATTGTCAACAGATTGACCATGGATGCTCACACTAGACAAGATCCTTTCTTCCAATGACACTAGGCTGCCCTGACTTGAACCAGATTGGCTAAAACCACATTGCTTATCAATCCTAGATCTTGCAGAAGCTTGCCGGTTGGGCCATGCATTTGAACTTGAAGGGATCACTTCAGCTCCCACAATTCCATCCTTTATCTGGCTACCAGAAGCAGAGTATGGCTTCATATTTGAAGAATAATTTGCTTGGCAAGGATTACCATGAGATTGACCCACCACGTTTGCGATAGCAGCAGCATCTTGATTATTTTGAACCTTCTTTCGAAGAGAATTAGGCAGTTGTACAAGGCTTGACGCTTGGGATAAGTTTTTTTGTGGGTTGTAGCTGTCTACCACATATGCCGAAGAGTTTTCCATCTTATGTATTCCCGATAGATCCATAGGTAAAAGTACTCCTGCAGTAACAGGAATCCCAATTTTCTCAACAGCATCCTTCGCCACATAGTTATCAGATAAAAGAGCACCACGAACACGTCCTAATTGAAGGATCAAACTCTTTACATCATTTACAAATCCTATGTCCTCCATAATCTGAAGAAGAAGCAATAATCAACTCATTAACCAAGTTTCATTTCCAAAGAGAGAACAAAAAAGAAAATTTTTGCGAAATACTCATTAAACAATATTAAAATCAGAAGACAAAGCAAGTAAGCATAATCGTAACAACTAACAATATCAAAGTCCGAGGCATACCAATGATGACGCACAAGAATTGGAAAAAAAAAAATAATATATATATATATATATATGTGCACTTGTTTTTAATGGTTACGTTTCCATCTATGGTTACCATTAAATATGGAATTTTGATATAGTGTGATAAGAATCAAGTTTCATTAATTGTCATTAATTTTTTTGGTCAACTATCTAATTTATTACGACCGTCGGATCAATATTTCACGGCTCAAATAACAATAACCATTGATGGGTAAATATTTGAGTAAACATTAAAACCAAACCCATATATATATATATATATATATATATATATATATATATAGCTACAAGTTTACACCTTGAAATTAATAATGATGTTGCTTGCAAAACCATAACTCTGGAACCAATGAGAAATTCGAGAATTTCTCTCAAATCTCATCCACAATAGTTTCCAAATATGGAAATAACTTCCCCTTGATAAAGAAGACACATTTCAAAGGGGGCAAAAGAAAAATCGAGGGCCCCACTTTAAGAATTCGCCATGACCCAGGAACAAGGAGAAATATTTCCATAATCACAAACCAAAAAGTTGCCATTGGCCGGATCTGCTTTGTCTGATCAAAAGTTAAAACATATTGATGGAGCAAGATGGATAAAATTTTCAAAAGATAGTAGTAAGAAACTAGCAAGTAGCTACTATAATCAAATTTAGAGACTTCTATGCAGCCACAAACATGCTCTTGATTGCTTGAGTTTTCTCGGTATATTACTAAAATGTATACTAAACTAATACAAGTTTCGCATCAATTGCAAGTTTATTGGAAGGAACAAACTAATAAAGGACTTACAGCCAGGGAAGAACCAAGTTGAACAACGCCATGAGGACGAACAGGAATAACAGCAACTGTCTGCATACCAAACCCAAACTAAAATAACCAAAAGAGCAAGATACACATTAGAAAAAAGAGTAGATTGCATAGAGAGATAGCAGACCTGCATGCCAGCTGAAAATTGGTGATGCATCTCATTTAAGACCTGAAAGAATCCCAAAAAACTGCATTATATACAAGGTTTAAGTGTCATGCCCAATTCCTATCATGTACTTTAAGCATTCTATGCATTTTAAGGAAAAAATAAAATTCTATTAAGAAATCCAAAGCATGCAGCCGTTGACTCAAATGTTAAAACCACCAGCATCACGTCAATTGTATAATTGTTTTGTATAAAAATTAAGACATCAAAGCTCCTAAAGCCCTTCTTGGCAAATTGAACTTTCTTGGGCATAAATTTTAATCTATACCTCTGGAGGATGGGCAAATTTTGTATAATTGTTTGAAAGAATCCATTGATGGTTTCCAGTAAATGCAGCTCGCCCCACCATTCTGAAAACCACAAAAAACGGGGGATTATATGCTTCATTGAGTACGCGAGGAAATGACATCTAACCAAAGCAGAATAATTACAAGATTGAAAAATTCATACCCTTCTCCAACTATATTAAACTGATTATTAATCATCATTTTGCTAATCAGCGATGAGACTCTATCTCCTACTTGACTTCCAAGCTGAGAGGAGCAGGTTTCAGAAGACATCCATAATCTTTCCCACTCTTCGAAAGGTAGCTCCGCACTTCCAGCTCCAGACATGTGTGTTGGCAGAGAAGATTTTGAGGGCTCATAGTGACATTCTTCCCAAATCAGCAGCCTGCCAACAAGTCAAATTCTTCAAACTTAAAACGGCGTGTCTCAAGCTTTAGATAAGAATTGCACCCAACAAAAGCAGCCCGATTTACACTCAACAAAAAGCATCTACACAAGGCTAGATTTTTTTAGTAATTTTAGGATAATGTTGTTAAATAGCATCTCTTAGAAGCCAAACAGAGGATGACAAAAAAAAAAAAAAAAAGAACTGGTTTGATCAGCAAAGGAGCCTCTGGTGGAGAAGTTTTAACTTTTTCTCCTACCGGAAACAATAAAGCAAAAACTGAATAGTATCCAAACATGGAAGACAAAAACCTGACCAGTAGATTCATAGAATTTTGATGTGTCAAACACAGAGCCGCTTGCAAAACTAAGACAAACATACTTTTCACTAAGAATCTTAAAGACAAAACAGAACAAACCAAAACATAACATTCCAAAAGTTGGAGGAAATGAAAAATCAGATTGCAAAACAAATTCGAGAAAAACATTAAAAGAAATTCAAGAAAATAGTAATAGGTAAGACTTAAGCATGTAAATCACCCCGTAGGACCACAAGGATATCACAAACCCTAGTCATCCAAAACGGAAAAATTAATTTCATTATTAATACATACTATTAATACTATATGAGTATATTCAACAGATCCACTCTGTTTGGCCGCCGAGAAAACACGGGAAAAAGTAGATACAGATAAACAGACTCTAAGCCGTCAACATTTTTCACTTGTGGAACCTGAGAAAGCTAAAAGTTCAACTCAATCGAGTGTAACTCGATAATTAAGCTTCTCATTTTTTCCCCCCGGTTCCTAAAGCAAATAAACAGACGAAATGCAGGGAAAAACTAGCCAAACAAAAACAAAACTACAAATAATCGGGCGAAAACTTTCGCTCTCTCATTTTCCTTCTCGAAGAGAGAAACTTACTTAGGGTTTTGGCAACCGATCTTCCAGAAAACAGCATAAGACCACTGATTCGAACCGCAGAGAGTCTTGAGCGCCTCTTTTAGCAGATATCCCATGGCTTCTTAGCTCAAAACGCAGAAAGGGAGATAGAGATAGAGAGAGAAACTGAGAGCGAGAACGAACAAGAGAGAGAAAGAGAAAAGGAGAGAAAAAGAGCGAGACAACAAGAGCTCAGTGCCGGAGACCGTACATTTATCGGCGACAAAAGTACTAACTTCCACGGCACGATCCTCTCCCCGCCTGCTTCGTTCTCAAACCACCGCTTCTCTTTCTCTCCGGATCCAAGCTCCCAGCGACGACCGTGAATCTCCGGCAAGCCATATGCTCAAGATCGCCAAGCAAAGGAAGGCGAAAACAAGCTCTGAAGAGCTCAAAAAGAAAGAGAGAAACAAACCTTTCTTAGCGAAAGGAGAAAAAGGAAGAAAACCCAAAACAAACTACACTATTCCACAAGCATCGAGCTCCAAATAGGCCATGATTTGTTCCATTTTTCGGCGCAGATAAATTCAGAGGAAAAGGAAGAAGAAGAAGAAAAAGAAGTGAGCTGAAAAATCGCAGGAGGGAGGGGTAAATTCAGGCGAGTGATTTTGTTGGATTCCCCGTGTGGGACACCGTGTCGTTTGGTTGCTCTCTCTGGTGAAGTCGTCTTCAAGCTCTGGAACGACGCTGAAGCTGGTTTCTGCTCTCTGGTTTTCTGGCGTTTCTGGTTCTTCTGCTCTCTCTCTCTCTATCTCTCTGATGGCTGCGGAAATTCTCTCTTTCTCTCTCTTCTTTCTCTATGTCTGTCAAAGTCTGAAAGAGGGTTGAAGTGTGCTAAAGTGCGCCATATTAAGATACGACTGCAATAGAGGTGGGGTTAGGAAAAAGGGCCCGGCTTTTGAAACAAATTACGAGAGGTGCCACTGAGGTGATAGTTTATTAGTTTTTGTCGGGTTGCGGGAGTGTTTCCGAGTCAGATGAGTAGAGAGAGAGAGAGAGGAGAGAGAGAGAGAGAGAGAGAGGAGAGAGAGAGGAAATGCAAACATTGCGAATGGTATTGCTCTCTTTTTGGGTCTGAACAGAGGTAGTGCGGGTTGCTGTCGTGATGACGTCATGTGTGACGGGAGATTACCCTTGCTTTCTGGGTTTAATTACAGGAGTGGCAGACTTTCTCCGTACAACCACGACTTAAAGAGGAGAGAGAGAGCCATCCTCCTCCAGTATGAGTATTAACATTGAAAATATTGAATTCGAGGATACAGTGAAAATTACACTTCATAACATTGTAATTTATATTTCAGGAATAAAACAATAATATATAACAAAATCACAAATAATTATAAAATTATTTTAAATTCAACAACAGGTATCCAACAAATGTTATTCTTTCGCAATTCTCGTATAATATTATTTTTTGAGTTTTATCGATTCGACTTTAGAATTTAAATTTTATTATAATAAAAAATTTTTAAAAATAATCACATTTAATTTTTTTATTACAGTAAAAATTCACATAAAATTATATCTTAACTCAAATTAAAAACTTAAATCAGCGAACTAAACGAGACCTTCGTGTGTATAACTTTCAGTTTGTTTAAATATAATATTCAAAAAAATATAACCTAACACATAAAATATTGAGTGTTACACTTAACTAAAATGAATATTACAAATGTTGTTCTTTTCTCATTCTTGTATAATATTATTTCTTCGTGTGTATAATTTTTGGTTTGTTTAGATGTAATATTCAAAAAATATAGCCTAACACATAAAATATAAAATATTGAATGTTACACTCAACCAAAATGAATATTACACATATATATAAATAATGTTATATAAGAATAAAGAAAAAATTACATTAACGGGACTGTACAAATATCGAACTTAAGATTTAATTTCTACTATTTGTAACACTATATTTAATTCTTTCAAAAAATTTCTTATTAGGAAAACAAGGAAATTCTAGTAATTCATCTTTCTGAACCTGGAATCTAATTAAAATCACATAAAAATGGAACTCTATGTAAACCTAAAAAATAATAATAATGACAATGATAATACATATATGACGGTTTAAAATAGAATCAAAGTTTCTTAACTTATCATAGCATTCTCTAAGAAAAAATAATAAAACAAATAATATCTAAAATTATTATTTTATTGTAGATGATACTTTCTTAACAAAAGTAGTATTTTTTTATAAGAATAAATTTAAGATATCGTTTTTTGTTCGCCTAAAAAACTTCCACAACTATGTTTTAAAAGCTTCATATGTAATTCAAAAAACAAAAAAGAAACAAAGCATAAAAAAATGATAAAATAAAATATGAAACTACATTAAATCACAATATGAATGAATAAAACTCATTACGTTATAGATCGAGATTTAAGTGGACACACACCTTTATTTATAAGAAAAATATTAAAATTACATAACAAAAAATAAAAATCGTCCATAGTGGAAGGAATATAAAAATTTGAGATGTAATAGAAAAGAAGAAAAAAAAAAGAGAAAGTATTGTAAAGAATACTCCTTTATTGTACGTAATTTTAAATATTATAGTCTAATTATATTAAGTAAAAGTTTAACATTTTCTTTAGTGAGAGTGAAAATTGGAATCTCAAATATGCTTTGATTTGATAAATTATTTACCTACTAAGTAAATACTTGATTTATCCTCAAAAAAAAAAAAATCAACTAATGCTTCTAGTCATATTAGGGTTCGTTTGGTATATGGATCTAGAATTATGATTCTGAATCCTGGTTCAGAGTTTGTTTACAGTGATTCTGAATCATGATTCATAATCAGTGTTTAGATTATATATGGATGTAGAATTATGATTCTGAATCCTGGTTCAGAATTATTGTTTGTTTACAGTGATTCTGAATCATGATTCATAATCAGTGTTTAGATTATATGATTCTAAATTATGATTCAAAATCTGATGTTATGTTTTAAACCATAATCACTAATGATTCTAAAACCACTCCCTCTTAATTCAAGGTGATTCAAATTCTTGATTTTAAATTATGATTTGAACTCAAAATCATGAATTATAATTCTAATTTCATAATCATAATTAAAATCACTTTAATTTAAATTCTCATATTAAACGAACCATTGTCTTTCATAGAGCTCTTTCTCCAATCCAAGACATCAAAGTCGTTAATGATCCTCACAATATAATAAGAGATCGCAGCTCATCATTAGCCTCATGATCGCAAGGCTTTTCGTGAGACGACAACAGCAACAAACGACACTCTCTTATAATTTGCTTTAATCGAACTTGGAAAGAATGAGAAAGATAAAAGAAAATAATATGACTCACAGCTTTAGGACTAAGGATTAATTTTTTCTGGTATATTTTTTATCCATCATAAGAACCGATCATACATTTTATATAATAAAGGTGTAATATTACATTTATTTTGCCGAACAATAATTTTAAAATTGTGTAATATTTGTTCTATGTTAAATAAATTTTTTGTTGTAATAACTTTACAAAACCAATGTTGGAAAAATTGCTAAAACAAGATCGAAAACTCAAGATGATATATACAATAATCCAAAAGAAGAAGTTATTACCTATTTTGTAATATGATTTTGGATGATCCAACATTCCAATAACTTCTAGTGTCCCAACCACAGGATCTTTAGAGCTATATATCTCTATGTACACATTAGGATTCCGTTCATTTCATTGATTTGAATTTATAATTTAAGTTTCGCTACAATAAAAAGCTCTCAGAAACAGTCTCATCTAATTTTTTTTGCTACAATAAAAAGCTCTCACATAAAGTCACATCTCAACTCGAATTAAAAATTCGAATCAGCAAACTAAACAAGCCTTAAGAGTGTGTGCAGGCGGAACTTTGTAAAATTGGTATTTCTTTGAAACCACAAGGGAACAATCACATTTGTTAAACCAAAGAATAACTACTCAAGAGGGGAGACTTGAGTTTCCACAACTGTTAGAAAGTTGTGAACTAATCACAATACCACAAATATGCGAAATAACAGTATATATCTAGGTAAGCACGTAGATGAAGAAATAAGAAGGGTAAGAGAAGAATGACCCGTTTAGTTCGTTGATTTGAGTTGAGATGTGATTTTATGTGAAGCTTTTTACTGTAGTAAAAAAAGTTAAATGTGACTGTTTATAAAAGCTTTTTACTGTAGCAAAACTTGAATTCTAAACTCAAATCGGTGAAATGAACGGAGCCGAAGTTTACAAACTCAATTTATATTGGTTCAACAGAACAACCCATTCGGTTCGCTAATTCGAGTTTTTAATTCGAGTTGACTTGTAATGTTGTGTGAGAGCTTTTTACTGTAGCAAAACTCAAATTCTAAACTCAAATCAGCGAAATGAATGGGACCAATATTCGCCAAGTACCACCACTTGACCACTTCTATAATCCAATCATATTTTGATACAATTATACCATATACAACTGACAAATTCTTCTATCTGAGGTTCAATAAAATCTCTACAAATCACCAATCTTTACAAGAAAAGGGTTTTTTTTTTTGTGTGCAGATACTCCATGAGCTTTACATGTTTGACAAATTAATTTCTCAGTTTCAATTCACTCCTTAAATTTTAAAATTCGGTTCAATATTAATCAAATTAAAAATAAAATTAACATTTTAGACAATTTCTTTTACATGAATATTTAATGAAAGTAATTATGATCCTTTTGCATCAAATTGCATCATATTTAAAGAAGGTATGAACATCATGAGTGAATTTTTTTTTTTTAAAAAAAATTGAGGATTAATTTCAAATTTCTAGACATTTAATGAGGGCAGTTCTGGTCACTTAGCATCAAATTGGTTGTTATTTGCACATCATGGGTGAACAATTTTTTTAAATTGAGGGTTAATTTTTTTAAATTCTGCCGACATCTACCGGATTTTTTTTCTGACGTCCGTGACGGCAGCCGACGACTGTTGCTGGGGATTGGAGATTGGCTTTTAGCGACATCCGGTAGATTACCATTTTGAACGGCGGGGGTAATTTTGTTAACACGTATATTGTGACTTTTGACCATTTTCTCCAAAAAAGAAAAAAAATGGCAGTTACGAATGAGCCATTTTTTAAAAGTTAGTTATAAAAGTGGCTGTTATAAAGGATAGTTTGCACTTATCCCTTATTTATATTATTTTTTTTTCCCAAAATAACTCGTTAAGTAAATTTTATCAGAATGTCAAAAAAATTATCAAAATTAAATATTTGTACATATAATTATGTGAAAATATTCGCTGCCACTTAGGTTTTTTCCTTTTTTTTTTGGTTTTAGTGTACCCTGCCAAAAAATTATCTAATATAAAAAAACGTCACCCTAACTAAAGCACGAACATAATAATATTTAGCATTCATAAAAAGATATTTAAACAGTATTTATAGATAATTTGGAAATTATAGTACTTCAGAATGGTCAAGAGTATTAATTCCATTAGGATTAACAGTACATTTTATTAGACAAAATAATTTATTAGATTAATAATTAGTTTAAGCCAGACATATTACGAGTAACAACATGAACTAATACTCCTTTTTTATGGGTGAAGGGATTGACTTTTGAAAATTTAAACCTCAAGTGCTTCCATACTGAATGTCAAATTAAGTGGCCACTTAATAATAGGAAATTACATGACATGTCATCAAATTTAAAAATAAACTTTATATTTATGTCACTAAACAAAAAATATATTAGATATTTTTAAGTGAATTGAGTAACATAGATTATTAAGTATATACCAGTGAGTAGTATAAATGGTAGAGACAGCATCATTTGAGTTGCATTTCTT